GAAATGACAGTTCTTGGTTAGAGTTATAACTGGTCTTTTATAGGATAGGACCATGCTTGGTTAGTATTGCTAACTGTCCTTTATTAGAAAGTACAGTCCTTGATTAGGGTTACTAATGGTCCTTTATTGAAAGAATAGTTCTTTATTTGTTTTCTTTCTGGTCTTTTTTTTTTGTTGAATTTGGAAGGTAAAAAAAAAATATCATTTTCAATTATATTATGTATCTACAGGAATTAAATTAAAAATTAATATTTATAAATTTTTTGATTTATGCCCTTTATTATAACTCCACAGAGTTGGCAATCCTAATTAATGGTTCTTCTCAAAGTTAGAGACAAAAACTGTAGAATACGTCTGGTAAACTTCCAAAATAATCTTTGCTTTTAAGAAGCTAGTGGATAGGCTAAAAGTTAACATTTATGTAACTAAATATGAAAGATATGAGAGACAAATCTATATAACAAACTAATAGTGGGTAAGTAAATGTCAAAATGGAAAAACTCCTAAATGATCCTTTTTTCCCAAAAAGGTACTCCTGAGTAATAATAATTGCATACAGGACAGAGATTATAAAAAAAAAATAAAAGAGGGAAAATAAAACAAAGTACTAAAATAGTTTGATATGAAAATACAAAATGAAAAAAAAATGTAAGAAAGATGGAAAAAAATTAAGAGTTAACAAGTGCAACAAGAGGAGAGCTAGGGAAGAAAGATTTATTCTTCTATTTACATTCCTCCTGTTATGGGCATTATTATATCCATGATATAATAACACCGATATTTCATGGACAGAACAAAATGGCTGAGAAAAGGAAAATGAATGAGAAACAGACTTTTGTTCTCAGCTAGACTTTTATAATAGTACCACATACACAAAAAAATATATATATATATATATATATATATATATATATATATATATATACACATGTGTCTACATGGGGAATAATATATCACATATATCTAAAAAGCAAAGCATAGTGTAAGGAGAAACAAAAAGGAAAGGTCTGACATATAATATGGAGAGATACCTGATCTGGAGAAACCATTCTTTAGGAACCAAATTTAAACAGGTTGGATTCATTTATGTCCCAAAGGGAAATGGCTCCATGTGCTTGTAAGATGCAAGGGAGGCCAATTTAGCCTCAGCCACCAAAAAGAGATAAGCATCTTCTGTATCCCTAGACTGGTTATTGCTCCTCATGCTTCAGAATTTGATCAATTATAGTAAAATAAATTTTGTGCACAACTGACTAAAATGAAACATGGAAAAGTCAATGCCCCATGTCAGTAACAAACTAAAAACAAAATATGTAACAGACAAACCACATTGAGTTTCAGCAAACATTCCTTTTGCTTATACAGGAAAGGCTGTTGTAATTTAATGAAAATAGTTCAAGTATTAATCAGAGTGTGACTTGCACAGAACTGAGAAAATGTCTTCTCAGTATGACATGACACACTCATGATTTTGTATGAGGTGATTTTTGATTGCAGATCCAAATGTAACAGCAGATTTATGAAAATTATCTGGTCAACCTTTCCGGATATATACCGGAATATACTGAACAACACTTCTTCCAAAAAACTGAGTGGTCCTGCCTATGTAGTCAGTTTACCACTGACATTTAAATAAGTAAATAACCTAAATTGTTTTTAAATTGGGCAAGCTGCCCTTTCAGATAGATTTCATAATTTGTAGATAAAGCAAAAAAAAACAAAAAAACATTGTAAAACATTAGTTGAGATTCATTTGGCAATCTTGCATCAGCCTCACCAATCCATATCAGCAAATTTTGCAATCTTAGCATTAATGATGGATTGAACAACTTCTAAAGCATAGCCATTTTCACAAAATGTTATTCTGGTATATTCTAATACTTGTTCTAGGCAAGTGGAATTTTTGCAGCCCCAACTATACAGGTTACTGAAAATCCATAAGGTTAATGTTCTATTGCAAAAATCCTCAAGGTTAATGTCCCAGTTACTATCCTCAATTGAGTTCTGAAGAGTAAAAAATAATAACTGGTTATCTCCTAATTTTTTTCATTCTTCAACCCCATTTTTTTTGTGTCATTTTTCAAATATTTGATACAGTTTTTTAAATATTGGTCTTACCAATTGAGTCTATATATATAGGTGTGTGTGTGTGTGTGTATATATATATATATATATATATATATATAACATCACCTTGAGTAACTAGAAATTGGTCCAATCAAGGGTGAGAATGCCTGCATTAAAAAACAGTTGCTTAAATAGACACAGAACAATCCCTGAACATGAATGTAACAACATTCAAAAGTACTCAGGAAGAAAATAATATAAAATAAATATGAACTTTAGAAAATTTACCGATAACACAAAACACCTAATTCAGAAATTTGAAAAATTAAATAAAAAATTGATAACAGAAGTTGTCCATATTATTTAACCAAACATGTTTGAGAGAATATATATATATATATATATATATATATACTTTTTACTTCTCCTACCTACCCTTGCTCATTGTCCTAACACTTTGCTTCTCCTTTTTCTTTCCCCCACTCCTCTTTTCAATAATGTAAATCCCCAGGAAATTTTTTCTAGGTCAAGTAATTTAGACATTTACTTGCTGTTCTCTTGTGATGTAATTTTAAAATCATTTTTAATATATATTGTCTGGTTAAATTTTACCATTTTGTAATTTCGGTATGACGAGGCAAATATTAAAAACATATGTGTCAAAATAATTTTATTACCGAATTCTTTGATGATGTATTAATTTTTTTCCTTCTTGATGTATAATATATATATATATATATATATATATATATATATATATATATATATACACACACACACACACACACACATACTCTCTGTTTAATAATAAAAATGTGTATACTCAAATATGAGTATCCACTAAAAATAACATTTAAAAATATATATATATATATATATATATATATATATATATATATATATATATATATATATATGGGGGATGAATACAATAAATACCAGTTTCAATTTTATATATATATCTTTGCATCTATAATTTTTTTTATGTAAAATTGTAATTGGCATTTGTTGTATTCCCACCCCTATAAATATATGATTGTCTCCATCAATAAAATTATTATCAGTCTGAAACAATCTTTCTGTAATACATTAAAAATGATTGTCATGGTACTTCTGTTAAGTTTTTATTATTGTATTTGTCTTGTATGTGAATAAGAGAGTTCTTTTTTAGACTTACTGAATATGTATTATATCTACTGGCCTGAACATTTCAGAAATCTTAGTAAAGAAAAAGCATTCCTTTGCAGGGATCAAACTTGCGTCCACCTTTGTAGGGGAAACCCCCATTTGACCCAGTGTGCTTTACCACTTAGCCATGAAGAATGCCACAGAAAGCAAAATTCTTTCTTTCTTTTTTAAGGAAAGCACATCCACTTCACTCAGATTATTTTCTTGAAAGCTTCATATCTGCTCAGTTTTGTAAACAAAGCAATTACAAAAGGATTTAATTTTAATCTGATATTTTATTACTTCAAATATTATTATAGTGGATACATCATATTTGAAAATAGACTCCCTATTTATTATTTTATTAAACAGTGTCTATTATGTCCAGCAGTCTGCACATTCAGGAAATCTTAGTAAACAAAATGTGTTCCCCAGTAGAGATCGAACATGCATCTCCTTTGTAGCAAAAACCATTGTTTGATCCACTGTGCTTTACTGCTTGGCCATGAAGAATGTTACAGCAAACAAGATTTTATTTTTGCTTTTTAAGGAAAGTGAAGAGGATGTGCTTTCCTTGAAAAAGGTAAATAGAACCTTGCTCTCTGTGACATTGATTGTGGCTTAGTGTTAAAGCACACTGAATCAAATGGGTGTTTTATTCTACAAAGGGAGATGCAGGTTCAATCCATGCCAGGGAATGCATTTTCCTTTACTAAGATTTCTTGAATGCACAAGTCACTAGACATAATACACAGTGTTTAATAAAATAAAAATGGGGTGTCTACTTTAAATACAAAGTATCTATTATGATAATGTTTGAAAGGAGGACATAACTTCAATCCCTTCTGGAGAACATTTTTGAGATTAAAATTAAATCCATTCATTCTTCATAAATTATTCAGTGAGTATGGAAACTGCCCAAATGTTTTTTTATTCCGAGCAGTTTCAGAAAATCTATTAGTCATTTTTATGGATTGTGCTATTGTAAAAATGAGTATAATGTTATTTTAAATTCTCTCTCTCTCTCTCTCTCTCTCTCTCTCACACACACACACACATATATATATATTGAGAGGGAGAGAAAAATATATAAGGAAGTATGAAAAAGTTTTTGAACTAGATCACTTCCCAAAATCAGTATTCTGATATTTGATCACTGAAATACTGATTTTGTGTAGCAAGTTGGGCTGAGAACTTTAACCCACTCCTCGTGTGTGTGGGTGTCTGTGTAGAACAATCAAAGGAAGCTGAACATACTCATGTCCATCCTACACTCCTTCCCAAGATTATAATGAATACTTATTATACACCTACGACAAAAATTTATTTTTTCTAACAATAGGAAGATTCAGTCAGTCTACCGGATATCATGTTGGAGTTTCTCAAAAAGAGCCCGTATTAGATTTGGCCTCAACATGTGTGGGAGAAATCTTTTAATTTATTGCTAAGGGAAAATAATAATTCCAAAAATTGCAGTAGTAGTTCTGGGCTTACAGGGAAAACTTGTAGGGATAGAGTTCAAATTATAACCCCTAACAAAGGAGGAATGAAAGCTAGATACATAAAAACACACAGACAATTGATGGCAGAACACTATGTCTAAGCTATGATTCTGTTCCAAGTACAGTGCAGATGAAGCTAATTACTAAAAAAAGGAAAATGAGGGGAAACATCAGTTCTCAGTGAAAATGATGACAATAATATTTCAAGCAATCAATCTTGTAAAATTAACAACACCCAACATACATTATTACAGTTTCTTTTGCATGCTAAAACATGTGAAACATTGTGATCTATCACACTGCCCATATCTATCTATCTCACTGTTCATATCTATCACACTGTTTATATCTCACATTGTTCATATCTATCTATCTATCTATCACACTGTTTATATCTCACATTGTTCATATCTATCTATCTATCTATCTATCTATCACACTGTTTATATCTCACATTGTTCAAATCTATCTATCTATCTATCTATCTATCACACTGTTTATATCTCACATTGTTCAAATCTATCTATCTATCTATCTATCACACTGTTTATATCTCACATTGTTCAAATCTATCTATCTATCTATCTATCACACTGTTTATATCTCACATTGTTCATATCTATCTATCTATCTATCTATCACACTGTTCATATTTATCTATCTATTTTTAAGCAATTATTAGATGTTTTAAATTTGATATTATTTCTTATTACTATAAATGTTATTTTTGAGTAGACATCTCCAGTTTTTATTTTTATTTAACATTGGTAGATGCAGATATTAATTTCACTGTTCAAAAAAAGTAACAAGACAGGAATACCTAGTCAAACATGGGTAGCCACTAAATATGACATTTATCATAATACTAGCTTAAAAGCTACCCTATCAGGTGGCATTTACACTCGCTCCTTAGGTGGGCTCTTGATTGGGCCTTCATCACAATAGGTAGGGAGGAGTAGATGCGATAGACAACAATAAACTACAGAAGAACTCAAAATTGATCACTGCATTTAACTCTTGCATTAATATTTAAGTTTACCTTATAACATTTCAATGATAATTCTGTTACCACTTAATTTTAAAAAATTTGATATACCTAGGTCCTTACTTTCTGTTAAAACAATTATTCTTATTTCATGGGTGACTTTTGCTGGTTATCACAATTAATTTCAATTATTCCCAAATTTATTTTCAAGTTATAAAAATTGTTATTGTACAAAAATTCATCACAAAAAATCACATTAAAATTTGCTGAAAACAATCACAGTAAGAAAAAATTGGGAATCCAAAATTTAAGGATTGAAGGTCTGGATCTGGCTTGGAATGTTTTTAATTTGCTCACATAGTTGGTCTGATTCCAAAAGATATGTTGGGCTATGTCCTCTAGGAGTAAAGTTGAAAACACAGACAATTTTATTTTTTCATTTGAACATGAGCTATTGAAAGTTAGAGAGTTGTGTCCCTTTAATTGTTTTTATCAGTAGAAGCCAAGATGGTGCAATCTGAAAACAATTGCAGTAATGAAAACTTCAGAATCCCAAATTTCAGGATTGTGGGTCAGTTTGTGGAATGTTTTTAATTTGCTCATGAATTCGGCCTAATTCCAAAATGTTATATATTGGGTTATGGCCTCTAGGAGTAAAGTTAAAAAGGTGTGCCACAGTGACACACTGATATTCACATTTATTATAGAGAAGAAATATATATATATATATATATATATATATATATATATATAGTGAACTTGTGGAGTAATGTGAGAGGGTCTTATATTATTTATTTATATTTTTGATTCTGTTTCTTTATTTTGCAGTATTCCGAATTTTCTGATAAATATTACTATGTTTATTTAATTGATTTCAATAGGGGAAAATCCTTTATACATCTGCTTGGTGAAAGTTTGTTAGGCTTGGTATTGGTTAATTTGAATCAGACTTTGATAGTAGTCATCATCTTGTTGACAGATGTTGGAAGTGGGGTTACATTGGAAACATGTTTGGTGACTATACAAACCCTCAAAAAGGCTGGAAAAATCTCTTAAGCAGTTTAGTTCTTCATGTGATACACTGAGACCATTTTTTCATTGCCTTCTCCCTTGCTGTCACTCAGCTATCCCTTTATATACAATTTTGAAAGGCTCCAAACTACTTGGTATGGAGCTTGGTTTCAGCTAACATCAAAAGTATCTTTGTTCTTTCAATTGGCCAAAATTCCTTTATTTATTTTTCAGCATTCCTTTCTTTTTTATAGCAGAAGTTATGTGTGGAGCCTCTCTTGTTTTGGTCAATTTCTAGTCCCAATAACTAGAATAGAAAACTTCTGTTTTGCAGCAGTTGTTTAGTCTTTTCTTCTTGCCTTCTCATTAGTTGTGAGAGAAGGGTAGAGAGAAAAAAGAAATATGGGTTTTAAGGAAAACAAATGCCTTATTTTAATTTTAATTTTTTTATATTTTATTTTCATATTTTATTTTTACATTTGGGTATGCTACTAACTCTTCAATTAATTTCAGTGCATAAGGGTTCAATAGTTCATTTTAGAACTGAACCACCACACTACCCACACAAATGATTTGATTATAGTGATGAAGGCTTGTGTAGAACTCACCACATTTCTCAGAACTGATAAGAAAGAAATTGTGCTCAGTGTTCTTGCAAAATCTCTCAACAGACCTCCTCTTCATACTTGATATTTTTTTCACTGGTTACCACTCATGGCAAAAGATCCCAGGCAGCTCTGCTACTTAAGCAACAAGAGTCACTTAAGGTAGAGGGTTACTGAGTGAGATTGTTGTTAAGGAAGGATATGGAAGCAAGAAGTGCATATTATGAGGACAGATATTGGTTGAATCTGGATTTCAAGAGAGCAAGATTTTATTGATCCTCTCAAGAATTTGTTCCACAAAATAACAGTTCTGAGGGGGAACTTACCCCTTATCAAAGAAACATGGATAGAATGGGGATGATATGCTACTGTGAACATGGCATAGCAGGTCCTAGCTGTGAAAGTCAGAGCTGGTGGAACTAAGGTATGTAATTTGTCTAAACATCTGCTATAATAATAGCCAAAAATTAGTGAGAGGCTATCTGTATTTATTTATCTATGAGATAAGGGTTGCAGAGTGGAGAATATTTCAACATCCACAAGACTGCATAATTACTTTTGAACTCTGTCAAGGCTAAACAGGACTGGGCAGTAGCAGCCCAGATATGTCATCAATATTTCATTCTTAGTCTGACTCTTGAAAAGATAAAGAATGGCAGCAAAAATTAGGTATAGAACGATACAAGGAACCAACCATTCTTTCAGCATTTTGTTGCATTCTGTGTCAGCTCTACATAACATGGTATTAACAAAAAGGTATGATCCTTTGCTTATTCATTTTTATTAGAAAAGTGGTTGCTGCTTGAATTCTAAGAGGCAGTGGGAAGCATGATGTCATGGGAATGCATGTTGCACATTTATACAGTGTCATATTGATGCTTCATAATTCTTGCAGCTCTCTCTTTAATTCACACCATTTTGGACTTGTATCTAAAACCCAGACAAAGGTAATCCATCACTGTCAGAATGCAATGTCCATGATGCACTCCAGCCAATTGCTGACCATTCTAGCCCTGGACTTTACATTCTGTAACAATCTTTTTTTTTGTTTAAATTTCTGTCTTAAGCCTTGCTTTGAGGTAAGTATATATATATATATATATATATATATATATGTTTATGGATGTCTATATTGTTTACATTAATTTAATGTTAATTGTTGATCACATTATATTTAATATAAACTGACTCGTTTGCCTCTATTGATGTTTTTCAAAGAGGGGATCTTGGGGCTTATATTAAGTTAAAACTTTATAACTATCATACCCATCCCTAATCTTTCTGCTGCCCCCTTGGCCAGCAAATTCTAATGAATTCTCAGAACGACTGTCATTTCCTGCCCTGTGTCTGTGACATTTTAACTCTAAACTTTTTTGTTTTCTCTCTCTCAAATAGAATAATTAACTTCCCTCTGTATGCACTAAGCCTAATTATTATGCTCCTGATACTAACTCAAATGGGGGTAGGGGATGCATGTACACCCCCTGAGCAACCTTCATCACCACAACCTCCACTTTTCAAGGGATCTTTTAGTCCTCATGTATACGAGTGAACTTACCTTGGTACCTAGGGCTCTGGCTTGTACAATGTTTCTGTTGCCCTGACCTTTCCATATGAACTACTCTTTATTGTAACCCTTTACCTCAAATGGCTCTTGGGCCTTGTACAATGTAAACTTCACTGTAAAAGAAAAATGTAGTACATGAAGACATTTGGCAATTCTCATACAAGATGGGAAAGGGACAATTTTTATCCTAAGCCATGAAGAACAAAAGGAAAGACTGTGCTACAAAGCTTTTGAACAAACACAAGCATCCCTTCCAACTGAACATCCATTGGTTTTTGTCAAACAAGAAAAATTTCTGCCAGAATAAGATGAACACACAGAACTACTGTTGGATTGCTGTATTGCCAAAAGATGTACCAAGATTGATGAAAACCAAATATCCAGTCCAGATTGGAGTGATCACTAGTGATGGTGACATTATGCCTCCAATCATCTTCCCACAGGGCCTCAGACTCAACATGGAAGACTACATCAAATGCCTTGAGGAGGATGTGCTGCCCTGGGTCAAGAGGGTGGTTGCTGGAAGTCCCTACATCTAGCAACGGGACTCTGCATGCCATACAAGCAAGAGAACCAAGTCATAGCTGTCAGACAATTTCTATGATCACATCACCCCTTACATCTGGCTACCTAACTGCCCAGATTGCAACCCCATTGATTATTATATGTGGGGCACAGTTGAGAGAGAGGCCAACAAAACTCCTTGTAACACTAAAGATGAAGGCAAGGATTATAGCAATATTCACCAACTTAAACGAGACTGTACAGAAGAGTTGCAGAAGATTCTGAAGTTGTCTGGAGGCTGTAGTTGAAGCCATCGGAATTTTATTGAATAAATCTACTCTTTAGTATCTCAAGATATTTTTGTTTAATTTTGGTAAATATATCTGTTAAAATGAGATGTCAGTGATATTTTCATTTTTGCATAATTTATATGACAATTTATCCATCATACCCTGTATATGGGAAAACCATATATATATTTTCATATACCAAGGAAAAAATTTAGGAGAAACAAAATATGACTTTTTCCACTTTATACTTTTTTCATATATATATATATATGTAAAATTTCAGATAGAGTATATCTGTAAAAGGACAATATGAATAAAAACAAAAGTATGCATTTCATCCCCTTACATTTGTCTTAATAAAGTCCCTCGGAGGACCAAATGCATTGGCAAAGATAAGTTTTCCTTTTCTCTTCATTTTTATATATATATATATATATATATATATATATATATATATATATATATATATATGTGTGTGTGTGTGTGTGTGTGTGTGCATGTACTTATGTGTATGCATATATTATATATATAATCATACCATGTTCATAAATTTACATGTATTGGCGATTACTGCTGTGTTAATCTTTTTGAATTTCATGTCTGAGAAATACTCAAAATAATAAGGACCATTTATTATTAATATTGGAATTGTTCAATTTCCTTAAGCATTTTCATCTCAAAGAAATAGCTGATAAAATTTCTTCCTTTCAAGATCTAAACTAGATTGCTTTTCATATTGCTTCCATTATATTTTCTATCTCTGACCATTGTTA